CTGCGACGCACACAGCAGGACAGCTTCGCGTTACGTGCAGTCGGGAACCCAGGAGCTGCGCGCCCGGGAGGGGAGTGGCGAATGAGCAGGAGGATGAGTGGGAGGATAAGACTGAGGCATCAGCAGCAGTTGGAGCTAAAGGACCGGGAGGGAAAGGCGGGCCAGGGGAGGGCGGAGGAGGGGAAATGAGAAGGGCGACGGCGATGAACAGGGACTCGGCTCCAGAGGAGCGGCCCGTGCTGGGGCGAGGCGCACAGCAGCGGCAGGAGCTGGAGCGGAAGGAGCGGGAGGAGCAGGAGGGCCGGGGGAGGGCGGAGGAGGGGAGATTGATGGGGGGGCCGCAGTGAAGCAAACTTCGGGGCCAGGAGAGTGGCCGCGGTGGGGCGAGAGCACCACTCTGAACGACGGGAGCAACTCAGGAGGGAGAAAACACACAGACACAATCAATCGTCGATCACCAGAAAATATGGGAAAATGTGGGAAGTGGGGGGGAAGACAGAAAATATGGGAAACTACAGGGAATCCTTGGCCCCTTGAGCAACGCGCCGATCCGAAAATGAAGCCCTGGTGCAGCGGAAGCGCCATGATGAAGCACAGGAAACGCGTGGATTGCAAAGCGCATAACAACATGTGTGATTGAACAGTCTGTGTGTAAGGTAAGACGCAGCACGCGGAGGGGGCGGGAAATCTTCTGGGGTGGGCGGAGAGCAGGATTCAGTCTAGAGAAGGCAGAGGAGAGGAGAGGGGAGAGAGGAGAGAGGAGAAATGTGATTTTTCCTCTGGGGCTGAGCAGGCTCTGGTCGGCCACAGCCGAGCGCCACAAGGCCATGCCACGTGGACAACGCGAGCTCGGTCACTGATGTTTCTATATTTTGGGCTGTGGTCCAGGGGCGTCGAGGTTGCCGCCATCGTTGTCCTGCAGCTGGCCCTCGGCGTCGTTGTCGGCGTCGTCGCCGTACAGTCGTTGCCGTCGTACTCGTCAGGGACGTCGCCAGACGAGAAGATGTCGAACTTCTGTGGGCCCGCCGCCGATTATGTCACTCAGTGTTGCGTTTGGCTCGAGGTCGCGCGGGTACCCATTCTTGCTCAGGAATGAAAATCCCATCGCCGCACGACGGCACCAACTCGGGTCTCGTCTGATCCTGGGCTTGGTGTGGTCAACATTCGAGCTGGCCTTCGGGCAAATCGTGATCAGGTTCGGGTGTGGAATAGCTGGAATGTGCTGCTTGATGATGACCTTGACAGGTCTGGAGCGAGCAACCTTTTCGTATCGCCCCGTCGCGTACACCTCGATACTACAGTGGAGACTCATGCCATGAAACACCCTGCTTGCCGCCAGGGTGCCCTGGGTTTCTTGGGTTTCCATGGTTTTGCCATGGAAAGCGTGACGTCCCCACACTAAAACTCGATGGCCGTTCTGGGGTCTCAGGGTTGGGTTGCTTGTGGAAGGTTTCTTGTGGCCGGGCCCCTGGAGGAGGAGGAGGAGGAGGAGGAGGAGGAGGAGGAGGAGGAGGAGCTTTTGTTGGTGATGCGTTCCTGGGAGTCCGGGCCACCCGCACAGATGCACCAGGTCAACGCGTGTTGCATTGACACCTGGAGGCACGCCCCGCGGACGAGCGGTCAGGGAGGACGATGCAGGGGCCAGACCTGCATCGCGCACGTCGCGAGGCCGAAGCGAAGTGGCGACGTCGGAGGTCTCCTCGACGTGCGCCAGGTCCCGCGAGGCAAGGTAGCCACTGCGAGCTAAAGGGGCAAGCCAAGAGGGGCGACGGAGGAGTCCAGGAGGACGGATACAGGGTGGCGTCGCCCGCGGCGGGGTGGTCTTACATGGAGGCAAGGGGAAACATGCAGACCGCAGGAGGAGGCGGGGGAGGAGGACAGGAGGGGGAAGCGGAGAAGGATGATGAGGAGGAGGGTCGGAGGAAGAGGAGGAGGAGGAAAAAGAAGAGGAGGATGAGGAGGAGAAAGGAGGAGGAAAAGGAGGATGAGGAGGTTAAGGAGGAGGAGGAGGAGGAGAGGGATATGAGGATATGAGGATCGGAGGGAGGGTCGGAGGAGAAGGAGGAGGAGGATGAGGAGCGAGGAGGAGGAGGAGGAGGGAGGAGGAGGAGCGAGGAGGATGAGGCTGGCGGCGTCGCCATGGCCCGTCGCCGCCATCACCGTCGTCGTCGTCGTCGACGTCGCCGCCATGCCGAATCAGAACCCATTACCATCCAGCAATACCCATGCAGATCTATCAACTTCCACCAAACATCGATCTCTGACGACATGGTTGTGTAATGTGATTGTTGAGATATCATTGATTTTGACGGGGTTGGAGGACGGTCATGGGGTTATCATAGACTTGGGGACGGCATGGGCTGAGTTGGTTGTTCGGTGTAGTTTGGCTAGAACGGCTGCTATGACTATGCTGACGACGTTGATGATGACGCTGCTGCTGATGCAGATAACGATGATGATGCTGATGATGCTGATGATGATGATGCTGATGCCGGTAAGGATGATGATGATGATGATGATGATGATGATGATGATGATGATGATGATGCTGATGCTGATGCTGATGCTGATGCTGATGCTGCTGATGATGCTGCTGATGATGATGACGATGACGATGATGATACTGATGTTGATGATGCTGATGACGATGAGGATGCTGCCGATGATGATGAGGTTGATGATGCAGATGATGATGGTGATGATACTTCTGATGATGCTGCTGATGATGTTGCTGATGATGATGATGATGGTGATGATGATGATGATGATGATGATGATGATGATGATGATGATGATGATGATGATGATGATGGCGATGTAATTGTGATGGTGATTGTGTTGATGGAACTGATGCTGAGGATGATGCCGTTTTTTTGCGAGCCACTTTGTTGTAAGCAAATTGGTGGGGGGCGGGGGCGCGGCCATTCCATGGTGCTGAACTAAAGTATTCGTACTGTGGAAGGAGGCTGACACCGCCATTCTTCAGCGTCAACGGGACGTCGCTCGCCTTCGCCTGCTTGTCTTTGCCCGCGGCTGCTCGTCGTCTTGGCGCGGGCTGCGCTTGTGTTGATGATAGCGCCCCCTTGCCTTTTGGCCGCGCGCCGTCAGCTGCACCCGCTGGTGTGGCTCTGCGGTGGCTGCAGCGGCCGTGACCCGCTCCTGCCACCGCTTCTTGAGCTTCTGCCACTCTGTGGGCTGAGCAGACGGCGGGGTGCTGCTGTTGCGGGTGTTTGCTGTTGCTGTTGCAGTCTTCTGCTTCTGTGGTTTCTGCTGGGTTGGAGCAGGCGGCGTCCTGCTGTTGCCGTCTCGGCGTTCGGATGGGGAAGGCGGTGGCGGTGGAGACGGCAGCGATTCGGGTGCTGTCTTTGCTGGAGAACGCGGTGGCGTTTCGGTTGTTGCTGCTGCTGCTGCTGCTGCTGCTTCGGCGGCTTTCGGCTGTTGCAGTTGCTTTTGCTGCCGCTGCGGTTGCGGTTTGGTCGGAGCAGGCGGCGGTCTGCTGCTGGCGTTGCGGGTCGAACCGTCTGCTGCTGCCGCGCGGGGGCAGCTGTGGCAGCTGCTGGCGTGGGCTGTTGTACGGACGGTGTTGCTGCCCTCGGGGCAGCCGTTTCAGCTGTTGACGATGACACTGCAGCTGCTGGTGGCCACGCGACTGCTTCTTGTGCGGCTCCATGGTTGCTGGGACTGCTGCCGGAGTGGGTGTCGCCGCTGCTGTTGCCAGCAAGTTGCCTCTGTCTGCTGGGGCTGGGGCCCGGTCTTGTCCATATTGCCAAGCCTGTTGCTGCTCTGCTGCTTCTGGCGCTGCTGCTGCGCCTGGTTCATCTGACTCGTGGCCCCGATCGGTTTCGGCTCGGGAAATTGCTGCGGCTCAGCTCCAGGAGGGGTCCGGGGGCCTGGAGTCGTCGTGGTCGTGGTCGGCGGTCGCGGTCGTGGTCGTGGTCGTTTGTCGTGGTCATGGTCGTCGTCGGTGTTGTCGTCTTCGTCGTCGCCCTCCGGTTCGGCCGGCCCGCGTGAAGGCTCGGCGTGGCTGGACGAGGAGGTGGGGGAGGGAGGAGGAAGGGGGAGGGGCAGGAGGCGGAGGAGGAGGAGGAGGAGGAGGAGGGCCCAGGGTATGGCCTACCCTCGGCTACCTCAGGGCCTAGGGTACGGGCTATGGTAGCCTACAACACCGTGGTCCGTGCCTCCGCAGGGCGTGAACCGGGCCTCGGGCTCCCACTCCCCAAGAGGTCCCAGAGGCCCTGGCATCGCTCGGACGTGTGCATTTTTTTTTCCGGCGAGGACCATCGAGGAGCATCCTGGACCATCGAGCAACAAAAAACACGCACGACACCGACAAATGCACGGGAAATGGACGTCCGAGCGATGGCAAGAGGCCCAATCGGTTTCTTTGAGACCCTTTCGAGGACCACCTCTGTGAAGAACCAAGAACCCAAGGCAAGCCTCACCTCGAAGCCCTCGCTTTTCCGCGTCCGACTTCGAATCATGTTTCCTGGAACTTGCCCGGTGACAAGGAGGAAAAGGAAGCGGAGGAGCAAAAGGAGGAGGAGGAACAGGAGGACATCAAGGAGAGGATGGACGTTTTCGTCATCGTCAAAGTTTTTCGTTCGGCGTTGCCATCGTCTGAGATCGTGTCTGCAATCGGGGAAGTCCGCGCTAGAACCCAAGCGCGCGCGAAGCGCGCGCGTGGTTCTAGTATGTATATACTACACATATAGATCTCACTCGCTCTTTCTCTCTCTCTCTCTGTATCTCTCTATGCCTCTCTCTGTCTTTCCGTCTCTCCGTCTTCCTCCCACTCTCGCTCACTCTCTCCGTGCCTGCCTGTCTGTCGGTCTGGCTGTCTGCCTGTGTCTCTCTCTTCGCCTTTCTCTCTTTTTTGTTATCTCTTTCGCTCTCTTCCGCTCTCTTTCTCTCTCTCTCTCTCTCGCTTTCCCTCTCTCTATATTTTTTGGTTTGTTCCTCTATCTCTCTTTCTATCTTCTCCTCCCGCACGGCTCCGCGAGGCTCCCTCGAGGTGCTCGGCAAGCAGCACGGCATCCCCCGCAGGGGCCAGGCGCACACCGCCGGGAGCGACGCGCTCCTGACGCTGGAGCCGAGGGGGGGGGGGGCAGCCGCTCCCGCGCGCGCCGACCCAGGAAGCTGGGGCCATCGTCCGTTGGAGGAGGGGGTGAAGCTCATACCATCAAATCAGGGCTGGACCTAAACGGTGTTTTGGCGATTTCGTGGAACGTTTTCGTTTCGACTTTGTTCTGCGGTAGAGGTGGATTGAAGACAAAGCAAGGGGAAACGAAAACGAAGCGAAAACGCAAAACACCGTTGGGGCAATCGTCCGTTGGAGGAGGGGGTGAAGCAGGAGGGAAAGAAACACACAGACACAATGAACCGTCGACTCCCAGGAAAAGATGGGAAACTGTGGGAAGTGGGGGAAAGACGAAGGCCCAGAAAATATTTGGAACATGTGGGGGATCCCGTTATTTGTGTCTATCTATTTGAGTGTCCTTGGGCCCCTTGAGTGAAGCTCATACCAGCAGATCGCCACGCGACAGTTTTTGGCTCACGATGTGGGTGGTACGACTTCTAGGCCAGGGTGGCAGGCGGACACACGGTTCATTTTTATTATTCGAAAGTTCCTTGAAATTTTTGGGGGCCAACATCCTCTCAGTTCTAAGTGTTCTATTCTGGGCCTCTTCCTTGCCACTATGGGGCCAGGAACAGTTAGGAACGAGCACGATCAGAAATGAGCACGATCATACATGAACGACGTTTGTGTGTGTTTGTCCATCACATGTGGGGTCCAACATCGCCTTGCGGAGACATGGGGGTGGTGGTGGGCACGCTTCCTGTTCCTGTGGCCAAGGTTGACGTTTCTCCTCGGCCTCTGAGTGTCCTCGGTGGACATCTGCGCTCTTCGAGAATTACGCTACCGAGGAACCCCACATACTTAACTTAAATCTTGTGTGTTTGCTTAAGTTTATAATATATGCGCAATTCTGCGTTCTCAGCCCTCGTCGCGAATGTTCCCCTATGTGTCATCCAACGCCATATTGCTTGAACCTCCTCCCTCTTCCTAGCCTTCTATCCTCCGTCGAGGACAGATTCGAGCCAGCCAGCGGCCGCGGTGAGGGACCACCCCCTGCGCACCCTCGATGGTGTCGAGAAAGTGCCACCCTGCTATGCCCTGGACGACCGTCGTGCGTAGCGGCAGCGGTGAGGGACCACCCCCTGCGCAGCCTCTATGGTGTCGAGAAAATGCCGCGCCTGCTATGCCCTGGACGACCGTCGTGCATAGCAGCCGCGGTGAGGGACCACTCCCTGCGCACCTTCTATGACGTCGAGAAAGTGCCACGCCTGCTATGCCCTGGACGACCGTCGTGCATAGCGGCCGCGCTGAGGGACCACCCTCTGCGCACCTCCTGTGGTGCCGAGAAAGTGCCACTCCTGACACGATCTGCGAGCGTGTCACGGATAGAGGCCGCGCTGAGGGACCACCCTCTGCGCACCCCCTGTGGTGTCGAGAAAGTGCCACTCCTGCCAAGATCTGCGAGCGTGTCACGGATAGAGGCCGCGCTGAGGGACCACCCTCTGCGCACCCCCTGTGGTGTCGAGCAAGTGCCACTCCTGCCACGATCTGCGAGCGTGTCACGGATAGAGGCCGCGCTGAGGGACCACCACCCTCTGCGCACCCCCTGTGGTGTCGAGAAAGTGCCACTCCTGCCACGATCTGCGAGCGTGTCACGGATAGAGGCCGCGCTGAGGGACACCACCCTCTGCGCACCCCCTGTGGCGTCGAGAAAGTGCCACGCCTGCCACGCCCTGCGAGCGTGTCACGGATAGAGGCCGCGCTGAGAGACCACCCTCTGCGCACCCCCATGTGGTGTCGAGAAAGTGCCACTCCTGACACGATCTGCGAGCGTGTCACGGATAGAGGCCGCGCTGAGGGACCACCCTCTGCGCACCCCCTGTGGTGTCGAGAAAGTGCCACTCCTGCCACGATCTGCGAGCGTGTCACGGATAGAGGCCGCGCTGAGGGACCACCCTCTGCGCACCCCCTGTGGTGTCGAGAAAGTGCCACTCCTGCCACGATCTGCGAGCGTGTCACGGATAGAGGCCGCGCTGAGGGACCACCCTCTGCGCACCCCCTGTGGTGTCGAGAAAGTGCCACTCCTGCCACGATCTGCGAGCGTGTCACGGATAGAGGCCGCGCTGAGGGACCACCCTCTGCGCACCCCTTGTGGTGTCGAGAAAGTGCCACTCCTGCCACGATCTGCGAGCCTGTCACGGATAGAGGCCGCGCTGAGGGACCACCCTCTGCGCACCCCCTGTGACGTCGAGAAAGTGCCACTCTTGCCACGATCTGCGAGCGTGTCACGGATAGATGCCGCGCTGAGGGACCACCTTCTGCGCACCCCCTGTGGTGTCGAGAAAGTGCCATTCCTGACACGATCTGCGAGCGTGTCACGGATAGAGGCCGCGCTGAGGGACCACCCTCTGCGCACCCCCTGTGGTGCCGAGAAAGTGCCACGCCTGCCACGCCCTGCGAGCGTGTCACGGATAGAGGCCGCGCTGAGAGACCACCCTCTGCGCACCCCCACCCCCTGTGGCGTCGAAGGAATGCCCTGTGTGCTATGGTGTGCTGTGCTGTGCTGTGCTGTGCTGTGCTGCTGTGCGGTGAGCTGTTCTGTGCCGTGCCGTGCTGTGCGGTGTTGTGCTGTGCTGTGGGAGAAGGAGAAGGGGAGGGGGGAGGTGTGAGACGCGGGTGCGGCGTGGCAGGGAAGAAAACCAGAACCCCACGAAACATGTGGGGAAAAATAAGAATCATGACAAAACGCCTAATAAAACAAACATATCATAATAAAACACAACACAAACAGATGCGTGCCTATCTATATAGATATAAGAACAAAGAACAAATCTGCGCTCTTCAGCGATGCCTCGCGGTGAGGCGCCGTCTGCCCTCTCGGCTCGCAGGCGCAGGCCACCTCCGGGTACTTCAGAGAGGACCCGTGGGCCTCTTCCCACAACCTCGCGGGTCACTTGGCATCGCTCGGACGTGTGCATGTTTTCTTCGACGAGGACCCTCGAGTAGCATCCTCGATCATTTGGCGAACAAGCCACGCACGAAATCGAGAAAAGCACAGGGAATGGACGTCCGAGCGATGGACAGTTTCCGAGGGCACCGGGGTGGCTCTTCGCTCTCCTCTGTTGGCGGCCTGTCCGCCGCCGGAGTGGTTGCCAGCCGTTTTCACGCGCCGTGCTGCAGCCGCCTGCGCGGGTGCTTGGGGCCACTGCGCCTCACGCCCTGTTGTAGCCTTTCGTGGTTGTTCGCTGGCGGCCTTTCTCTCTCTGTCTCTCTATGTGCTTTGCACGGTGGACGTCTGCGCTGATTCTTGCCAAGGGTGCCAGCTCGCTCTCGTGTAGCCACCTCGCAGATCTGCCGAGGCCTCTGAGTCCTGGGGCGCAGGAGCTCTTCCTCCAGCTGGAGTACGCCGCGTACCTCTGCAAGGAGAACTGGAACCCCAGCCCGTGGGCAGAGGACGCCTGCGGCAGGGGAGGCCAGGGGGGGGAGGGCAGCGGGGCGTCGGGGCGGGCGGCGTGCGCGCACGCTGGCAGTCGGGCTCGCGAGGCCTTTCCCATCGCCGGAGCAAGTCTGCCATGACCAGGCATTCTAGTGCTGTGGAGGACGATGAGTGGAGAGCAAGCGTGTTGCCACATAATTGCCAGATGTCTAGAACATGTGTTAAACATGTTTTATACATGTAAACAACATGTTCAACACATGTTTAGAACAGATTCCGACATTGTAAACACATTTGAGTTCAATGATAGGACGGTTAGGGTGTCCATTGTCGTGGCATCCACAATTCTAGTGGTAAGAGCACGTAGTCCCAGTGGTACGTCCCGCGGTCGCACGAATGCGCAGCGTGCTAGGGTATGAGTGAGCATAGAGCACACGTTGGAAACAGTGCTTGGTGCATGGGCACAGCGAGGTCGCTGCGTGCATGACAGGCTGTCTGTCAGGATGGCGCGGCACGTCGTCCTGCAGGCGCAGGGGGTCAGGAACGCCACGTTTGTGCACATTCGCGTCCATCCACTTCGGTCGTTTTGCGATCATCGGGTGCGTTGCCATGTCGTAGGTGCATGTTCCGCGTGGGGTATCCCATACGCGCCCGGAGGCTTACTATTTTGTCGGGCCTGTCCCTCTACATGAGGAATATTCGAAAATAGTCGAGCTATAGTCTGGGGACTGGTTTTCGACTATGCTTGACCACTGTTTGCAGTATTTTGTTGGGGTATTCTTGATTGTTCCTCCAAAATCCGCCTGTCGGGGAACATGCCCGATCTAAGGGTACAGTCGGGGTGCTGAAGAAGGAACCCTTTTCGTTGGGGAGGGGCTCGGTGTTCCTTGATTGTTCAACAGTTTGCCTCAGGTTTTTTCCTGAGGCTTTCTCGGGGAAGTCGAAGCTCAACTCGTGGGAAAAAGGGGCCTCGCTCCTTATTTTTGGGGTTCCTCTGGCCAACGCTCCGACGGTATCCCGAACGCGCCCGGAGGCTTCCTGGTGGGGCTCACTTTGGGCGCTGCGTAATGGGGGGGTCATAAATGGGGGGGTGGCGAACGTGGTTCGAAAAGGTACCCAAACGGTACCTAAACGAGCCCCCTGGGGCTCTGGAGGGGCCCGAAAGGGGCACGAAAGGGGACCTTTTCTGACCCCCCCATTTGTGACCCCCCCTCATCAAGCCACGCCCAACCACTACACTGACCCCCCCCCCCCCGGGGTGGTGTTCGTGGGCCCCAGGGCTCCGCACGCCGACCCCCTCCGAGAGGAGGCGCACCGGCTGGCCTCCTCGCGCCTGCGAGAGCACGACCCTCGGAGGCGCCCGCGAGAGCACGCTCTCCCGGAGGCGCCCTGGCCCGATCACGCCCGCGAGGCGCACGATCTCCCGAGGCGCACGCTCTCCCGAGGCACACTCCTCCGAGCCGTACCGGTAGGGCCCACGAGCAGGACCTCCCGAGGTGCACGGGTAGACCCGATTCGATCCTCCGAGAACCTTCCCCCCCCCCCTTGCGCCGCCCCTGCGAATCGTTCTCGTAGTGTCACCTGTGGCTATTGGTGTGCAACCCTCGGAGTCGAACTACTGGGCCTATTTGACGAAAACAACTTGTTGTGCAAGTCACAGTGTGCGCATGGCTTTTGGAAAGGGCGGGCTGATTGGGCTATCAAGCATTCCGCGCGTGCCGGAGCATCTGCAGCCAGAATATGACGAGCGCGTGAGCTCCGGGCACCACGCCGACACGCCAGCTTGCACCGCACACCCGGGCAATACTCGCCACGGGTGTTTGTGCCCCACGCGTTTCTGATGCAACATCTCGAAAGTTGTACCTTGGCGTGCGCGTCTGCACCCCACAGCCGTTTTCAGCATCCGCGCACGCTTTCTTTCCCCGTCCTCCCTCGCCCGGGGGAGGGCCCAAACGCTCTCGCCGGGCAGGCGGGCGTTGGGCTTCGGGCTGGCACCGTGCGGCAGCTGGTGCAGTGCGGCCCCCCCTGCGCGCGCCATCTCTGGAAGATGGCGTGGCGCTGAGCTGTGAGTAGACTCTAAGAACAGCAGCCCTCCACCCATCTCACCCTCGCGAGTCGTACCAGTCGGGCGAAGTACGCGTTCGAACACAGCACCCCGAGTCGCACCAGTAGGGCGGCTGAGCACGCCTGCTAGTACGACCCGCCGAGCCGCACTGGCAGGGCTAGTTAGACCCTGCGCGCAGGCTCCCCCCACGCCACAAGTCGTTCCAGCAGGGTTCAGCAAGTCTACTACTGCGACTCTCCGGGTCATGCTGGTAGGGCTGCTTCTATGGCACAAAGCGCTGCATTATCTGCTGTGCTTTAAGCCAGCTATCGGGCACCACATCGGGAACCAGCCCACCATAGAGGGGAGTATGCCGCAGAAGAGGGGATTGTTCAAGATATGGTTTAAATTCTCAGACAAAGGATGGGAGGATCCGAGGGGCCGAGTAATTGGGTTGGTCTTGATGCCAATTTGATATGGCTGTTCCTTGTTGAGACAATCTCTCCATTCCTTCAATTCTATATATCTCTAGCTCAAAACGCTCCCCCCTCTGTCTCATTTTCTCGCTCCTTCCTCCCATGCCCTTCGTCTCTCGTTTTGTGTTCATCTCTCTCTCTGACTTCTCTCTCTCTCTCTCTTTCTCTGTCTATCTTTCTCCACCACCCGTAGCGTCGTTGTTCTTCCTTCGCCAGGACTACAAGTGGGACGGCGACGACTTTCCTTGGGGGCCTTCGAGCGACTGGTCTACGATGAGCTTCGTGACCGGGCCGAGGGCGGCAGCGGGTGCGGCACGAGTCATGCCCTCCGCCCCGCCCCTCCTCGTGTGCTCCCCTCCGCCGTGCTGCTGACTTCCCGCGCCCCTGCGCGCCCACGTCTTTTGCCCTCCATCCCCGCTCCTATCCTCCTCCTCCTCCTCCTCCTCCTCCTCCTCCTCCTCCTCCTCCTCCTCCTCCTCCTCCCTCCCCGCTCCTATCCTCCTTTTCCCCTCCCGTCGTTCTCACCAGTCCCCTCCCCTTCCCCCACGCTGTCGGCTCCCCTGCTCCCGCGCCCCGCGCTCCCCCCATGACCCTCGTCCCCTTCCCTGTTTCCCGCCGCTTCCGCCCGTCCCCCGCTCCACGCACTGCCGATCCCCGCCTTGCGATCCTCGAGTCTTTGGCCCTCGCGTTGTGGTTCCCTTCCCTCTCGCTCCATCCCGTGCCCTCCCCTCCACCCCCTCTGTCATCGTCGTCGTCATCCCTCTCCCTCTCTCTCTCTCTTTCTCTTTCTTTTTCCCTCTCGTTTGCTCTGTCTGCGTGGTGTCTTGGAGACGGTTTTTGGGGCGTCTTGGGGCCGAGGCCACTAGAGGCACCTCAGAAGCCCCAAGAGGCCTCCGAGAGGGGCCCAAGAGCCCCCCAAGAGCCCCCCAACAGGCCCCCAGCAGGCCTCAAGAGGCGTCTTGGAGGCCCCCAATAGTTGTCCAGCAGGACTCTGACCCACAACCCAGGCACGGTGGCGGATGCGCCGAAGGCCACTTCACAGCAGGTGCATCAAATGAGAAACCAGCCTGCCAGCAGGTGTCCCTCCGAAGTTTCTGATCCCGTGATGGCCCTGGGGGCCCGCAGAAGCACCGGAGCCCCTTTATGAAGCTCGGAGACAGTCGAAGAATGTGCTCCGAGATTGCGAAGGCCTTGCGGACGGTGCAGCCGACCCTGAAGGGGGACGACGCGAAGTGTGCCGCCGACCCTGAAGGGGAACGACGTGGACGGTGCCGCCGACACTGAAGGGGGACGACGACGAAGGCGACGAGGACGGCGACGACGACAAGTCAAACCTTTGAGGCAAATGCTTGAGTTTATCCCCTTGGGAGTGCTCTTGGGGCTTTCTTGGGCCTCTTGGGAGCCTCTTGGAGGCTTTTTTCGGGCCCCCTTGGGGCCTCATGGTGGCCTGTTGGGGTGGAAGGCTCGACATGTCGGCTGGTGCTCTCCCTCTTGGGGGGCGGGGGCCTCTTTGGGCCCAAGACTACAGTCGGGGGCTTGACCTCCTCCTCCTCCTCCTCCTCCTCCTCCCTCCTCCCTCCTCCTCCCTCCTCCTCCTCCTCCTCCTCCTCCTCCTCCTCCTCCTCCTCCTCCTCCTCCTCCTCCTCCTCTTCCTCCTCCCGAGTAACCTAAGGAACCTCAAAATAAGGAACGAGGCCCCTTTTTCCAGAAGTTAAACTTCGACTTCCGATCGAAAACACAAGGGAAACCTGAGGCAAGCTGCGAACCACTTCAGGAACGCGGAGCCCCTCCCCAACGAAAAGGGTTCCTTCTCCAGGGCCTCGACTGTAGACCCCGCGCTGGAGAAAGCATGCTCTGCGAATGCGGAACTGCGAGGAAAGGTCATCGGTAACGGTACCTTCTGTCATTGGAAGTGGAGAGTCGATATCTAATGGCCTTCGGCCCATCCCGCTGCCGTGCCTGGCTTGTGGGTCGTAGGCCTCTGGGGCGTGCGTTCGGATACCGCGGGAGGCCTCTCGGGGGCCTCGCGGAGGCAGTTTTGATGCCTTTGGGGGGCTGTTTTGGAGCCTCTTGTTGCGTCTTAGGGGGCCGCTTGCGGGGTGGGGGCGTCTTGGGGCCTCCTGGGGGCCTCTTGCGGCATTTTGGGACGGACGGCCTGAAATGTCGCGGGTCGGGCTCCCACTCTTTGGCCTTTTTCGGGGCGGTTTTGGAGCCTTTTGGACCGTCTTGGAGCGTCGGAGGCTCGAAGAGTCGAAAAGCCCTCAAACATGGAAGAACCTAAAGAACATCACTAATGTCGGCCCTTCGCCTTCTTGGGAAGGCTCCTGGGGCTTCCTTAGGGCCTTCCGGAAACGTCTTAAGGCCGTCCCCGGGCCATTTTGGGCGTATTGGAGCGCTCGCTCGTCGATGCGAAGCTCTCTTGGACCGTCTTGTGAGCCGCCTGGGCCGATCTTGGCTCGTCTTGGGGCCCTCTTGGCTCCGAAAAGGTCACGCGACAACACTCGCCACGCCTGAGCAATTCGGGCACGTTGGGGTCCGGGCCCTTGAAACAATCTCCAGGATTGAGGGCGGAGGCTCAGTACCATGGCAAAGGACCCTGGGACACTCCACTTCGTGCCACAGAGCACGGCGCGGATAATCGGATTCCCAGGTTCCTATGTACTCGACAGGCCTTTCTAATCCAAGAGACGAGCGGTGTTCTGTATTCTTTCATCTTCATGGGCTGGACGGCGATCCAATCTACTTCAAACGCCTTCCAGCTTCATGCTCCTGCGCACTTCTTCCGACGGCCGACAGGTGGGTATGCGCGCAGGCACAGACCGGGCACCGCATTGGGGGGCGGAGACGGTGCCCTTTGCTTCCGAGGCAAGCTCGTGCCAGGGCGGCAAGAGACCACCAAGTCAATGGCAGAGGGGAGAACAGGCGAAGGGGAGGCGAACGATACTCCTCACGCGCATCGGGATACCTGGAGGGGAGGACTGGTTGGGGCACGCTTGGATACTTCCACAGCGTGATGCCGCCGCCGCGCGCGGATCCGTGCTAGGCTGCTTGTTCGAAAGCCGGCCCTCCCCTCGGAGAACATTCTTGCCAGCATCTCTTGCCTGGCGGAAGCTGCGGGACGGCCAAGGTTGCGGAGGTCGACGGAGGCAGCGCACGAGTCCAAGAGCAGGCTGGCAAGCGGAAGCTAGGGAGGGTTCGCCTGAAGCGTGTGTAGGGCTGGCACGACACGTTCGCGCGCCGGCTTCCTCAGCACACCCGAAGCAGGCCGCCGCTTTGGCCCGAGCTGGCGATTATCAGACCCGGTGGATAATTCTGCTCTCTTCGTCGCGTTTCATCCGTATGTGTGTGTGCGTATGTGTGTGTGTGTGTGTGTTCGTGTGTGTGTGTGTGTGTCATGCCTTTTGGCAGCATCGTAATGAGGGGCTAGATCTCACGAGCCCGTCTCGTGTCGGGCACACGAGGTCAGGTTCGGGGCGCGCTCGTGTCGTCGCGCTCTTCTCTCCGCGCGATGATCTTCGTCCTCACAGGGAGGAGTGCCGTGGAGGCCTGCTGGGGAGGGGGGGGAGGGGGCAGGGCCGTGTGGCGCTTGGGTGGCGAGGCCACCGAGGGGCCTGGGCCCGACCGGGGGGGGGGGGGCTTGGCCCCCGGGCAACGTCAAGGGGGGATCGCCTCGTGGTGGGCCCCCATCGCCCACTGTTCGGCAAGGGGGGCCCAATAGTCCTTTCCCCCATGAGCGTACGGATTCGCGATCGGGGGCCTATCGCAGATCTGTCGAAGACGCCTGCGGCGCATCACCGCCGCCCCCTGCCCTGTAGGACGCAACTATGTGGCCAAACGTTTGGATTCAGCTGGGCCACGCTATTGGGCCATGCGTCCCCCCAGCCCTCGTGGAAGTCTTCGGGGAAGACGTGGGGGAGGGAAAAGTGGATGAGGCGAGGGGAGCAAAAGGAACATGAGGATGAATGCAGATACCTCTTGGGAGTTGCTTGGGCTATTCGTTATTATGAACATTCCCAATCGCCCCGTTTTGCTGCGCCCCTCATCCCCTCCAACAGAGGGTTGGCGGCGCCTGTTTATGCACATTAAACATCGTCATTTGCAGCTACTTCTGCTGACAGGTTCAAATGGCCCGCGCGCGCACGCTCGCTTCCCTCGGCTGGCCGGCTCTTTAGATACCTATCCCAAGATGGCTTAAAGACTTTATTTTTCGCCATGGCGACAAGGATGTTCATATTCTCGAAGCTGTTATCTATTATGGAAAGAATTTGTCTAACCATGGTTGGCCGGAGGGGGTTGGCCGGGTGGATTGGCCGAATCTCCGGGGGTTGGTTGGGAAGGTTGGCGGGGCCCGTCGTCGCGCGGGTTGATTGGGTTGGCCGGAGGCTTTTGGCGACACCAATTCTTGGATAATCAGTTCTTTCTATACTAGATAATAGACTTGGGAACACGGTTGGAATATTAACAACATGGGCAACACTATCACCGAACACCATTGCCTATGAACATGACTATCCCCAACTTGGAGATTACCCGACGAATTGCTTGTTTTCAGCCGAAGTGCTCGCCACGAGGTCTCGTGGTTGTGTCACAAGCCTCGGGGGTGTTGGGCCCAAACAACTACGGGATGAAGGCGGACCCGGACTGGGCCCGTATCTCCCGCCCGAATCCACTACGCACAACATAGGACAGATGATCTTCGCGACGGCGTCCAGTGACTGTCATCGGCGCCGTCGCGGGTCCTCCGCAGAGTCTCAGCGAATCAAAATCAGTACGGCGCACGGGCTCGCCATCGAGCCAAAACGCAGGCCGTTGTGACCCCGAGGGCGGACGAGCTCGCGGACCAGGATTAAGCAGACTGGTGTGGCAGCAGGGGCCATCCACGGTCCCCGTTGTCTCCGCCGGTTAACCAAGCCTGCCTACATGATTGACTTTGACTCTTCCGTTTCAGATGCCGCGTATTCCGTATCGTCGGAAGAGGACGGACCTGTGAAGTCAACGCCGCCCCCTTTCCGTGACGCGGGGGAAGAGCAGCCTTCGCGCGGCGGTTCGGGTATAATTTATGCCAGATTGCCGCCTTGGGTTGCGAACGCGGACGCGGATTGATATTACTAGTTTGCGACTGTGGGTAACGATGTTGCCGAAGCCTTTCGCCTCGCTGCAACGTTCCCCATGGCTGCGGAGGCTGACGCGACGCCCGAGTGCGAAGGGGAATCTGATTTCTCCGGCAACAGTGTCTTGCCGAGGTCGGTGGTGCGGGACGAGTCGGGGGAGTCGGCGCCAAAGCGGCCGCGACCATCTTTTGACCTATCCGTCACTTCGCCGACTGATAAAGGATCTAAGACACGCGCGATCCTTGACGGGATGACGGCGCCCAGGTCAGGGGTTGGCGAGGCGAATTGTTTCCCCGAGTCACCAGGCGTAAAGACCCGTCCGCATCATCCATCTCGCGGCGAGAACCACGCGCATAATCCCGTGGGCAGGCCTGTCCTTGACACTCGTCCCCGAAGAGAGGTTCGTGGCTTTGGGGCGCAGCCGCGCCGTGGAAACTCTCTCTGCGGCTTCGATCTCATCGGCGCGCGCGGCCAGATCCCGTGCCTCGAGCGCGCGGGCCCAGGGCCAGCGCGCCAATTCCGGACAGCACTGCGCGCCCATCTGGCAGAGGTGCTGCCCATGGCAGTCGCGGCCGATGCTTGCAACCCCTTTAGTCCGCGGGTGCTATTCGGGTCGCCGCCTCTGCCATCTCCCGCCCCTCTGCCCTGGCCGCCCCCGGGCTGCCCCCGCTCGGGCGCCCCGCGCTCGCGTGGCCCCATCGCGGGCAGGAGTGGGGAAAAGGCAGAGGAGAAGAAACGCGCGGCGGCGATCGCCGATGCGGACAGAGCTGACGCCGATGAGGGGGCAGTTGGAACGCGCTGAACTTCTGCAGCAAGCTGCGGCGCGCCCTCAGGCCGAAGCGGACCGCGCTGAGATGGCGCGGCTTCTCAGGGGCATGGGGCGACGCAGCGGGCGGCCGCGTCGGGGCAGGCGCAGGGGGCGTCGGCTGAGCCGCGGGAGCTGGCTGGCAGAGTCGAGGCATCGGTCGCCAATTAGCTCAGGATCTCGAGAAGAACTTCGCAGACAGGGGCTAGGTCCGCCATGTGGGGCGCCGCTGAAGCGCAGGCTGCCGCCCGATCGAGGATCGATGGCCTCCCGGGAGCTCGAGTCGACGTGGGCGAACGGCGCGATGGTGAAGGCGGGGGCCCAGGCAGCGGCGGGGGCAGCCCGGGCCGAAAGAGCTTTGCCGAAGCCTCGGTCTTTTGGGTCGCGCAGGAGAGCGCGGCGATGGCGGAGGAGGCCGAGGCGAGAGTGGCGGGCGCCCAGCGCAGAGCAAAGGCGCTTGCCGACGCGGCTGGCTCGAACTATGTTTGATCAGCCGCGGGGGCGCGCGAGGCCCGGGAGAAGGCGTCGCGCGGAGCGCCGCGTTAACCGTGGGGCGCCGACCTCGGCCCGAAATCCAAAGGCGCGGGCCGAACAGTCCACGAGAGCCCGACATGCGCAACGCGAACGGCTTTTCCGGGAACAGGCAGAGCGCCGCGTCGGGGAGGGGCTGCGACGGCGCGTCTGGCAGGCGAACGGCTGGGCGACGCGCGCCGCGACGTATCCCGCGTCGGCGTGGCGCGGGCGAGGGCGGGCAATTACGCCCGTGGCGTCCAATCGCGGACGGCGGCGCTGCAGGCGCCGCGCCGAGTGCGACTGCCCGCGCTGGAGCGGGGCCTGCTTCGACCGCTGCTCCGACGCCCTCGAATTGCGATGCGCGCCGCGCTGCGGTTAAGAACAAGAGGGGGGCTGAGATGAAATGTCAGCATGAATAGGCAGAGGGGCAGGGTGTCAGGTGCCAGCTGGAAGGGCGAACGGCGCCCCGTGCAGCCCCCGGGGCAGGGCCGATCGTTTGTCCGCCGATGCCGGCGGCATCTCCCAACTATGTTGAAGGCGCCTCAGAGGCGGCGGTGGCGCGGCCACTCCAGGATGAAGTCGTGAGGGGGCGGGGGTGAGAGGGGTGGGTGGCGGGGGGGGGGCTCAGGGCAGCGCGGGGGGTGGGGGGCTGGTCCGAGAGGGGGGCCGAGGGAAAGAAGGGCGCGGCCAGGGGGCCCGCCGTCCAGGCCGAGAGGCCGTCAGTTGCCGACGCCGTCGAGGAGCATCGCGTCGATGGTGGGGGGCTGGAGAACGACGGGGGGGAGAGAAGCCGGCGGGGCTCGCCCGCGCCATTCCGCGACCTCTTCTGGGCGCCTTCCACCTGGCCCTTGGGCGCCGGGCGCGTCATTCAGATGGGCGACGACGATGGCGACCCACAACCCTCCTGGTGGTCGACTATGCGATCCGACGGGTCGGGCCCTCCAGGTGGCGGTGGCGACCCAGGCGCGGGCGGCCGCGACTCGTCGGACGACGACTCCGATGGCGACTCCGATGGCGGGGAAGACGAGGGCGATGGCAAGAGGCGCCGGGATTTCTGCAAGGGGCCGCCTAGCGGACCTCCTGACGGGGGCGGGGGCCACTCCGCGCCCGAGGTGGCGCTCGGCCCCGCGGCCTATTGGAACGATGCTGGTAAGATGGAGAAAGTATCCATCGGCCCGATCCCCGGCGCAGCTGGCAGCCGAACGTGGAGTAGCGGCTTAATCGGACACGCGGCGTCGCGCTCTCCGGGCGGGGGGGGCGCCGCAGCTTGGACTTCGCGTGATTCGACTTGGGGGAAATTGAGTTCAGCCCCAGTCTCGCGAGGACTCGGGGCTCCTCGGACGCCCCGCCTTGATGGTCGCGTCAAATCTTATGGGCGGGGTCAGCGGGGTCGCCGCGTGCCCCAAGTCTGCGCGGCAGCTTCGGCGTTTGGCATGTGAATTTGGCAGGTTCGTTACTGCCATGCTGGACAAGGAAAGGATGATGCAATCTCTGCCCATCTAGCTGATCAGTGCCCCGCGCGTGACCGCGGGAGATGATCGCGGTTGGGCGTTCGCGGTTTGGGCCAGGGCGCCGACTCCGACCAGTTTCAATCCTGCGATGAGTGGATGGAGATCATGACTGAAATGGGCACGCCACCCAAGTCTTTCCGACCGTCCATTCAGGGACCTCTTCATTGGGGGGCGAAGTGCCCTTGCGTGGCGATGACTTTGCCGATGTGCGACTATAGCAGCGACCTCTGCGGCAAGGGCATGCAGTCGTGCCAGTGGTTCTTGGGGCAGATCGGCCGGCGCATGCGCGCCGACCGCGGCGCTCGCAACCAAGCCGCGCATGAGGAGCAGCTTAATGTTCGGGGCCGCCAGGGGGCGCGGTGGCAGCGGCGGTGGAGGCGACGGCGGCGGCCAGGATTCCCTGCGACCTTCGAAGGACGGCCGACTCGAGAAGTCAGTGTACTGCCAGCAGTGCGCGAAGGGGGCTTATCCGTGCCCCCGAGCACAGCCAGCGTCCGTCCATGCATTCTAATAGCGGAGCTGCCGCTCCGCTTCAAGCCGCCCCAGGTTAGCCCGCGATTGCTCTGACTGGCTCGCCGTCGCGCGACCGGCGCCTGGACGTAGACGGGCCGCGGCAAGTGGGAGTGGAGGTTTCATCCTGCCTGTTTGCTTGCTGGTATATTTGCGTGCTCGTATGCTTGCTAGTCAGAGGGGCAATGTTGGTTTCGCAGATCGTGGGTCACAGGTCGTTGGCCCCGAGATCCCAGTCCATTCGGCCGACGCCTGCTTGCTTACTTCTTGTGTTCCGAATGCCGCATTCCAGTGTTCCTTGCGTTCCTACTCGCAGTCGCTGCTGGTCGATCAGTGATCGTAAACTCCGCCTTTTTGATGCATTGAGTAAGCCTGGGCTCTGCAGGCATAGTAGTTCACGAGCGACTGGCGACGAGCGGGTCCGTTTTACATTGCGTCGCGCCTCGCGCATCCCTATGGATGTTTTTAGGAACGACGTTGCGGCAACATGTAGGGTGGCAGGAATTGGAGATACATCGGTGATGCAAAGCGGGGTGCCAGTCAAACGGAAACCACGGTCGGCCCGTGCAGTCCCTTAGCAGCGTCTAGTGTAGGAATATCCAGGAAGCATCCTGGAGCATTTTTTTTCGAACCCTCGTGGAATTGACTGAGGTCCTTGCGGGGCGCTCCTGGGCTTCTGCTGGGTGCCTCTCGGGCTGTTGCGGCACCTTCGCGGAGGCAATGGGTAAAAACAGGGGTGGTCCCAGCAAGTGCCGGCCAGTCCTCTTGGACACCGTAGCATCGTGATCGGCGCCCGCCCACCAACCGCCACGCTTGCAGGAACGGTTTCTCTGGTCGGCCATGTTAGCGTTCCAGCCCTGCATGCCCGTGCCCGAACAACATACGCAGCAGGCTCTGGGTAATTGTCATTCGGTTTATTGCGCATTTGGATTCATTTTCTTTCAGTGACAGGGTGCATATCATTTGATTTCCAGTGTTATGATGAAAACTAAGCGCTATTGCCGAAAGTGAAATATTGGCTGGCCAGTCGCATGTTCCCCATCCGCAATTGAAGCATTGGCAGGCAATCCGTAAACGATGGACTGTAGGTTTGGCGCGTCGAATGTAGTATGGAACGTTCGGGCACGAAATCGCTTCCCCCAGTGCCTTCCTTGTTTTGGGAACCCACCCCGTGCATGTTCTTTCGAGACCCGCCTTCTTCACGTCTTCTCCCACATTCCATGTCTTTCTGATGCTCTATTTGTTTTCCTACTGCAGCGGCAGCATGCTGACAGTTTGCGCGTAATTTGCAAGTCTGGTGTTCCTGTGAATTCGCACGTTGGACATCATAGTCTTGCATTGGTTCATAAGCGTGCAGTACACCAGCCTTCGGTAGTCAGAGACCGCAAGGGGCAGGTGGGACTCCCACCCCCACCCGCACGGCATCGCCTACGCCTGGAGGGGAGGGGGTCAATCATCGGGAGGTCCAGGGACTGGGAGGCCAAATGGCGCAGGCCAGATCGGAGGTTTCGGGAGTGAAGTCTTGCGAGAAGCCGCCTCCAATCAGTCAGTCATGGTTTCGTGGTTCTGTGCGCGAGCGCCGTGGTTGCAAGGGCTGGCGTGGCCACGGTGTCCAGCTGCTTCTCCTGCTCCCAGCTTGCGCCTGGGTGGGTGGTGCTCTGAGTCCTGGGTTGTCTCGTCGTGGTGTTTCGATGGTGTCGCAATTGTGCCCCGCAAGACAGTGTTTCGACCGTGCCTCTCAGGCACGCCTGCCGCTTTCAGAGTATGCGCGGCTATTCGTCGATCGCTTATGCCTCGACATTCTGTGTGCATGCGCTCCCTTCTCGACGTCTGAAGCGGCCCTGGGGACCGACAAGGTGTAGTCCGAGTCGGGGTTGCAAAAGTTATCTTGCAGTCCCATCTTTGTGCACATTGATTCCAGAGCTGCATGCTCCGTGGTCGTCGGCTTATCTTGCCACCGTGCCTGTGTCGGCGATCTCGGGGGCCACCGTGTCACACTAGAGCTCCTGAGGGCTGTTTGCCTTCCCCCTTCACCTCGAGGGCCGAGTTGTTTGAAACATGCGCATGTGTTCAATGATTGTTAGAGCTCTGAAAACACAAGCGAGAAGTCACACGGATCCGTGAGTTCAAGGCTGGAGCCTCGTTAAGAGTATCCAAGTGTCCAGTGCAGAGAGCTCGGGAGTTTTGGGAACGTGTCATGATGTCGTCCGGCACGGTGGCGTATTTCTGTGACAGGCAACGGTTGCCTTTTTTCCAGTCAGCGCGAGCAGAGACACAATGTTGTTTCAAGCTGGTAACGATGAATCTCGAGGCGCACCGCTTAGATGGCGTGCTCTTCTTCTTCGGCCATCTTCAAGCATCAGGCTTTCTACTCGCCGCGCAGGGTGGGTGCCCTGCTGCTGCTTCCATCTCGAAGGGCTTCGACCAGCAGCTTGCGGGATGAATGGGTGGCCCACCCGTTTTGCGGAATGGGGTCCTTCTCAGGCTCAGGCCAGCCATTTCGATTCAGCTCGCCTGTTGGAGGGCCGTGCTTGAGCCCGAGCATTGCCCACATCAACGAGATGAGTGCGCCATTCCAGACTTCCGCAGAATATGCCTCGAGCACGCTGCGAGTATCATAATGCAGCGTGGCTGTCTTCGCTTCGCCATTTCTGTGCTGCTCTCTCCTCCTTCACACCCTGTTCGTCTTTCTGGCCGACCTGAGCGCCCGCGGTAGCCTGCCGTTCCTTCTCGCTTTTTGCTCCCTTCTGCTCCCTCCTGCTCCCATCTGCCGCGTTGTTTCGGGGGAGCGTAAGACCCGGGTTTGCCAGGACTCGGGTTCGCCATCGTTTTTTGACGACCGCGACTCGGATTTTGACGAGGAGGAGTTTTGTGGGATGTCTGCAGCGGGAGGCCTCGTCAAAATGCAGGCTCGGCCTCGTCATTTTTTTGACGACCTCGTCGGGGATTTCCGAGTCCCCCGTACCCGGGTCTTACGTCTCCCCGATTGTTGTGGTCTCATACCCTAGCTCCTACTTCTCGGCAGTTAGGGGAGATGGGAGGCGAGAGCCGGCGCCCCAGCTGCACGCGTGGCCGAGCTCGTACGGCTCGGCCGCCGACTGGTATTCCTCCTGGGGCGGGACGGGGAACGTGGAGCATCCAGAGCAGACCGTATAACCCCACCACCCTCGGACCTCCCCCCTTCCTCCCCCCCTCCTGTCCGCCTCCTCTCGTCGCCTTCTCCGGCAGGGGAAGAGGGTCAGCGCGCGCGCGCTGCGAGTCCCTGAGGTCCACGGCGCCTGTGAGTCGTGCAGCAGTCGATGGACCTCGGCGATCGGTTCCTGTCATGTCCTGCCATCCCTCCCACCCCACCCCTCCATGAAGTCGGGCGCGAGTCGCGGCGGACGAAGGGAGGGGAGTAGAGTAAACGTCGGGCCTGCCCCTCTACAAGAGGAATATCCAAGAACAGTCCAAACATAGTCTGGGGACGTTTTTTTGTTTGTTTTGTTTTGGTTTGTTTTGTTGTCTCTGTATGTTTTTGAGTATTAGTTTGACATTTTAATTTTTTTGTCCAAAATCGCCTGTAGGGGGACATGCCCGACCTAAGAGTAGAGGAGGCACGACAGAAGAGAGAGGAACGACGGCACGAGTGCACGAGTGGGCAAGGCAGCACCCTCGAGCCGGGTCATTCCTAATGGGACTTCAGCGTGCGAAGCGCGCGTGGTTCTAGTACTCACAGGAGGGTTGGAGCTCTGTCAACAAACGCCCCCGCTGGCAATTCTTGCGCCTGGCTGCAAGCAAAGCTTCACGTGGAATCGCACGAGTGATATCTGTCAGAGTGCACGATTGCTGTGATGAGCCCGGCGTGCTTGGATCAATTGTTGCATGCGCCTCCAAAAGCAGCGCCGCTGGCAGCCACGACTTCACGACTTCACGCTGGCAGCCACGACTTCGTGGCCGCACACTTCTGCACCAGGGCTGGCGCTGTCCACCCGCCGGCGCCATATCAGCTCGAGACCCGCCAGATGTCCAGGCTTCGCGCAGACGGGGCGAATTTCCTCTGAGGTTTGGGGGGCTCCTGAAGCTCGGAGGAGGAAGGAGTGAGGGAGTGAGGGAGGAGGAGTGAGGGATGATGAGGAGGAGGTCAGATGTCGAAGGCGTCGGCCGTGACTGGAGGTCACGACTTCATGCTTCCGAGGCGTGAGAAGAAGGGTAGCGGGTGAACGTCCCGATAAGATAGATGTAGGTGGACACAGCGTCAAAGTGCGGTCTGTCGTTTTTCGTCGTGGGTACGTGGGTTAGTTGAATCAGCGTCCTATCTGTCGAATCGGTGTCACCGTCAGTCTCTGTGTGCTCAGGTCACACTCAGTGATGGCCGAATTGTCAGTCATACAGTCATACAAGTGTGCCAGGCAGTGCAGTGGGCACCGCTATTCTTACCATCCTGCTAATGCTTTACCTTGTCCTGACTTGGCCTCATGCGTCATCGTGGGGGCCGCGATGTGACAGCATCTCCAAATTGTCACTCGGTCTCTGCCGTCGTGTCTTTCTCTCTCTAGTTTGTATTTTTGTTCGTTCTTCCTTGCATCACGTCTGCACCTCCTTCGCTTGCTGGCTGACTCCCTTCGCGCCATCTCTTATCAGCACGGGGCCAGGGGAGGCTTGGCGTGATGCTTTAGCAGCCAATGTTTGAATTGACAGCACGACCACACTCTGATCTTTCTGTCTTACGCAATTGTGTCTCAGACGCCTTGCCCCTCATGCCACACCCAAGGTTTCTCTGTGTGTCTCTCTCTCTCTCTCTCCCTCTCTCTCTTTCTTTCTCTTGTTGTTGCCCCCCCTCTCTCAGATACATGTAATTGTATATGTGCATATATAAATCATCAAATGCGCCAGGCCCCCTCCCGGGCCTTCCTTCACCTCGATTACATCTCGATAACGCTCCCGGTACCGCACTTCCCGGCCTCCCAGGAAGCCCACACAATGCCCAAAGACAGCCCAAGATGACCCCAAGACGTCCCCAGAACGTAAAAGAATTGCCCAGGACGCTACCAAGCAACCCAGGATAGCTTTCTGGCGGCTCTCCAGGCTCCCGAGGGGCCTCCACGAGACCTCAAGAGAGCTCCGAGAGGCCTCCCGAGAGCGCCCGGAGAACCTCAAATCGTTCATTGTTGTTTTCATGGTTTTTGGCCTGCTCACCAGTTCATGCTTCCAGCGCTCCAAAACGGCCGAAGAAGTCTCCAAGACGGCCCAAGAGGCCCCCAAGACAGCCCCAAGACGGGCCAGGACGGCCCCAAGATTGCCGAAGAGGCGCCCCGGACAGCTTCAGACCATCCCAGAACAGGCCCAAGATGAGCCCAAGAGCGGGAGCAGGAGGCCGCCAGAGACCTCCGAGAGGACTCCAGGACCCCCCAGAGGCCTCCTACGGACCCCAGTCCCCTGAGAGGCCCCCCAAAAAGCTCCGACGAGGCCTCAAAACAGCCCAAGAGAGCTTCGAGAGCCGTCCCGAGTGAGCCCGAGGAGGGTAAAATCATTGATTTTCAATAGTTTTAGTCGACGTTTTTCGCCTTCTCTCGTTTTCCCGCTTCCAACGCTCCAAGACCGAGGAATGTTAAGGCAAGTAGGAAATTCAAGAGATTCCTTTTTTTCCAAGTTCAACAACTGCGCGCCCCCTCCTCCCGGGGACCCCCCAAAACGCCTGAGGACAGCCCAAGACGATCCCAAGAAGTGGCCAGAATGTAAAATAACGGCCCAAGACGCTCCCAAGCAACCAAGGGTAGCTTTCGGGCGGCTCTCCGGGCTCCTGGGCGGCCTCCACGAGACCTCAAGAGAGCTCCGAGGGGCCTCCCGAGAGCGCCCGGAGAACCTCAAATCGTTCATTTTCATTGTTGTTTTCATGGTTTTTGGCCTGCTCACCGTTTCATGCTTCCAACGCTCCAAGACGGCCGAAGAAGTCTCCAACACCGCCCCAAGACCGCCCAGGTGAAGAGGCGCCCTGGACAGCTCCAGACCACCCAGAACAGGCTCAAGATGAGCCCAAGAGCGGGAGCAGGAGGCCTCCAGAGACCTCTGAGAGGACTCGGGCACCCCCGAGAGGCCTCCAACACACCCCAGACCCCTGAGAGGCTTCCCAGAAATCTTCGACGAGGCCCCCAAAACAGCCCAAGAGAGCTTCGAGAGCCGTCCCGAGTGAGCCCGAAGGGGGTAAAATCATTGATTTCCAATAGTTTTTGTCGACGTGTTTCGCCTTCTTGCGTTTTCCCGCTTCCAACGCTCCAAGACCGAGGAATTCAGAAAAATATAAGGAATTCCATAAATTCCTTTTTTTCAAGTTGAGACTCTTACTCCCTATCCTCTTTCTCGAGCCCCATCAAGACTTCGGGGTCACATGCAAATCTGTTTCGGGAATGCTGTTGAACCCTCTGACGCTGTCTTGGCACTCTCTTGGATCGTCATCGCCGTCCTCTTGGCTGCCCCTGAAACCAATGTAGACAGTGAGATCCCATGATCCCATGAGTTGAAGCAGTGGCCCCAAGAGTTTTGCACCCTGCTAGTTTTTGCACGAAGACCCCGAGAGGCATTCCAACAGACCGTGGCCTGCATGCAGACAACGTCAAACCCACAGCCGAGGCACTACAACTTGAGAAGAAAAAGGAAAATCCCACCGTTCCGTTTTTTTCCAAGCTAGCCCCCCCACCGTCTCGTCTTGCACAACAGACCACAATTAAGGCACCAGAGCAGAACACAGGAAACCTTCGAGGGCCCCAGATCGTTAAGTATTTAACAGCAAGTAATGTTTTTTGCGTTTCCGGAGTTCCCCCATTATACGATTCCAAGGCTTGCGCAGGGCCGTCAAGAGAGCCCCTGGATGTAAGTAACAACAAGGATGGTATTTCATGTGTTCGCCCATGAAACCTAGCTAGAACTTGAGCGCGCGCGAAGCGCGCGCGCGCGATGGTTCTTTTATATATAGAGAGAGACCTCTCTCTCTCTCTCTCTATATATATATATATGTATCGAGGACGCCTACGGCGAATCACCGCCGACCCCTGCCTTTTTGGAAGCGCCTATGTGGCCGAACATTGAGGCCAGACCTGCCAAGCTATCGGACCACGTGTTCCCCGAATCGGTTTGGAAAGCCTTCGGGGAACACGTGGGCATCTTGAAGGTCATCTTGGCCGCCTGGAAGCCATTTTGACTCTTTCGGGCCTTCTTGGAGGACGTCTTGGAGGGCTCTTGGGCTTTCTTGGATGCCATCTTGAGCGTCTTGGAGACCTCTTGGGCCGTCTTCGGGGCCTCTTGGGGCCGTGTCTTGGGCCTCTTGGGCGATCTTGGGGGGCATTTGGGCCGTCTCGGGCCGTCGGAAGGCCGAAACAAAGCAACTGCCACAATCCTTCAAACAGCCTATGGGAAATCAATGGTTGTGGTCTTTTTCGGGCCTTCCTGGAGGCCCTCTTGGGGGCCTCTTGGGCCGTCTTGGGCCATCTTAGGGCCATGTTCGGCCGTCTTGGTGGGCTCCTGGTCCGCATGACGCCGTCGGAAGCCGTTTGGGGGGCCTCTATGGGCCGACTTGGGGTCCTCTTGGAATGCTCCAGGGCCGTCTTGGAGGCCATCTTGGGCGTCTTTCAGGCCCCCAGTGCCGTCTTGGGGGCCTCTTGCGGCCGTCTTGGGGCCCTCTTGGGCCGTTCTGGGGCCATCTTGGAGGCCTCTTGGGTGATCTTTCGGCGATCTTTGGCTGCTCTTGGGCCGTCTCGGGCCGTCGGAAGGCCGAAAAGAAGCAAATGTCAACATCCGTCGAAAACTTTTGGAACATCAAGGTGTTTGCCCTCTTCGGGCCTTCCTGGAGGCCCTCTTGGGGGCCTCTTGGGCCGTCTTGGGCCAGCTTCGAGCCAACTTCGGTCATCTTGGTGGATTCCTGGCACGTCTGACGCCGTCGGGAGCCGTCTTGGGAGCCTTTCTGGGCCGACTTGGCGCCCTCTTGGGGCGCTTCGGGGCCGTCTTGGAGGCCATCGTGGGCGTCTTGGTGGCCTCTTGGGCCGTCTTCGGGCCCTCTTGGGGCCGTCGTGAGAGCCTCTTGGGCCGTCCTGGGGCCATCTTGGAGGCCTCTTGGGCCATCTTGGGGGCCTCCTGGGCCGTCTTGGGCAGTCGGAAAGCCGAACAGGCGCAAATGCCAAACTCTTTCAAAAACCCAAAGGCAATTAACGATGTCGGCCTCTTCGGGCCTTCCTGGAGGACCTCTTGGAGGCCTCTTGGGCCGTCTTGGAGGCCTCTTGAGGGCCTCTTTGGCCGTCTTGGGCCATCTTGAGGCTATCTTAGGCCGTCTTGGGTGCCTCTTGGATCGTCTTGGAGGCATCTTGGGGCCATCTTAGCCGTCTCGGAGGGCACCTTGGCCGTCTTGGAGGCATCTTGGGGGCCATCTTGGAGCCGTCTGGAACGGACAAACCCTTTGCAACCACCTCTGGAAGATCTTTCGGCATCCTCCCAGGACCCAAGCGGGACGCGCTTGAGCCCACTGGGAGAGTTCTTGTGGAAAAGAACCAACACCAAAACCATAAGAAGTTCAGCACGCCAGGGACCCCTGTGATGAATCAACAGGGGCGGCGGATCGAAGACGCCTACGGCGAATCACCGCCGCCCCCTGCCCTTGTGGAAGCGCCTATGTGGCCGAAGGTTGAGGCCAGACCTGCCAGGCAATCGGACCATTTGTTCCCCGAATCGGTTTGGATTGCCTTCGGGGAACACGTGGACATCTTGAAGGTCATTTTGGCCGCCTGGAGGCCATTTTGACCCTTTCGGGCCTTCTTGGAGGACGTCTTGGAGGGCTCTTGGGCCGTCTTGGAGGCCATCTTGAGCGTCTTGGAGGCCTCTTGGGCCGTCTTGGGGGCATCTTGCGGCCGTCTTGGGCGCCTCTTGGGCCGTTCTGGGGCCATCTTGGAGGCCTCTTGGGCGATCCTTGGGCGATCTTTGGGAGCTCTTGGGCCGTATCGGGCCGTCGGAAAGCTGAAACGAAGCAAATGTCAAAGTTCTTCAACACAAACTAAGGAACATCACTCTTTTTGGCCTTTTTTGGCCTTCATGGGGGCCCTCCTGGAGGCCTCTTGGGCCGTCTTGGGCCAGCTGCGATGCACCTTCGGCCATCTTGGTGGGCTCTTGGCCCGTCCGACGCCGTCGGAAGCTGTTTCGGGGGCCTTTCTGGGCCGACTTAGGGCCCTCTTGGGGTGCTCCAGGGCCTTCTTAGAGGGCATCTTGGGCGTCTTCGAGGCCTCTTGGGCCGTCTTGGGGGCCTCTTGCGGCCGTCTTGGGCCATCTTGCGGCCGTCTTGGATGCGTCTTGCAGGCCATCTTGGGCCATCTTCGCGCTTTGTTGAGGATGTCCCGGGCGAAACGGCCGTTTTTGGGGCCGTCCGGGGCAGGAACATCGTTGGCAACCACCTCTTCCGGGTGGCCGGCGGGACGGGCCGAAGCCCCAGGGGGAGTTCTTTTGGAAAAGAACCAAGACCAAAACCGAAAGAAGTTCAGCACGCCAGGCACCCCTGTGATGAATCGACAGGGGGCGGCGGATCTCTTGTGGCCTTCGGCCCATCCCGCCACCGTGCCTGAGTTGTGGTGTCTCGAAGACGCCTACGGCGAATCACCGCCGCCCCCCTGCCTTTTTAAAAGCGCCTATGTGGC